AAAAAAAAAAAAAAAGAACCTTAAAAGAGTGCTTCCATTTCCCCTTCACGTTCTGTGCCATTTTTGCTTACAAAAAATATTCTTTCTACATGTATTATAAACACCACAATAAAATTGTTATTGTTGTTGCTTTAAACAATTACCTTCTAGGGAGTTTTTCTTTTTTAAGTGAGGAAAAACATCTTTTATATCTGCCCATGTAATTTTTTTAAAAATTAGAGAGGTACTTTGGGTTTTTTGTTTGTTTTATTGTTTCAAAGTTGATGAAAAAGATCTAGAAGGGTCAGATGCAAGATAGGAAAAGAATGATCTGCAAGGCTCCATAGCAGCCATAAAGGGATGGGCCGTGGGATGGATGGATAGCTTCTCTGTTGTAACAGGAGGAGGTGAGGAGAGAGTGTAGATATGAGTAAGTTTACATTTAGTGTCAGGATAATGAATTCCGTTTCTATCAGAAGAGAGTGAGGGAGCAGAGGTGTAGAAAGTGGTCCTTGCTAGGACAGGCTGGTGTGCCGGCCAGAGACCATAGCAGAGTTACCCAGCATTTGAACGATCCTTTTGGTGATGATGAACCAATGTACCCTATTATTTATGATTTTTCTCCATATCTTTGGCTACTAGGGTTTACATAAGAACAAAATTGACAGTTGGCTTTATGACAGTTGACATCTGGATAGTTGTGAAAAGTCAGAGGGAAAAAGAAATCTCGGGTATTGCAAAGCATGTTACTGAATGATGGGTGCTGGGCTCTGAGCTGAAGGGCCGAGGCACGGTTTCAGATTTGTAGTTGACGCACTTGAACAAGCAGACTAGCAAGTAAAGCTGAGTAAGATGTTAGTGGTTTGGGAGATGGAGCTGACATGGAGCAGTTGCAAGTGATAAAAAGGATCAAGGTATGGCCTTGAGCGTGGTCAGCTCAGGAGGAGTGAGGGGGAGATCTAGGGAAGGTGGAGGAACTGGGAGGTGAGGTCACCCAGGACCGTGGCTCGGCTGCGTGGTAACAAAGACTGTCAGCTGGTTGCCAGAGTCTTTGAGGAATAAGTTTGGCAAATTGGCCCCTAAGAGGTATCTCCTAACCTGTAATTGTTGTTGATCTTTGTTAGGAAGCAGTGAGAGCAGTATGTACTTCGCTAGTACTGATTATTCTTCTGAAATCACCTCAAACGGGCAGCAGTCTCAGGATGTACAAAAGGAAACATTTCCCAGTTTAGCTGAAGAGTCCATGTGGAGAATGATAAAACAAACTCCTGAGTGCATTCTAATGACATATCAGGTACCTGAGAGGTAAGAAAGCACTTCAGAAGACCCACTTTTATGAGGTTTTTTTTGATGATTTCTTAAGTATGTTGTTTAATGCAAAATGATTTTTAAATTATGTTTTTTATACATGCTCTTAGAGAACTAGATTTTCACATTCATTCATTTGAAGTCAAATGATGAGTGATCCTAGGACAGTGGCCATGGTGGGGCCACACACACACTCCGACCCACACCAAACCGACATGTTGTGCATCGTGAGACCAGAAAGTAGAGTAAGGCAGCGCTTCCATGATGGCACCCAAGTACCAGAACTTTTCTTTCTAGACTCCGAATTTTTCCCATTCTATAAGAAGAGAGGAGCTCAGGGGAATCCGTTTCTTCGGTCTGCCTCATTCAAGCACTGTGCAGATGCTTCCCAACAAGAAAAAGTGCTCTGGCTTCACCACATTATATATTAGCAAGAGATATAAAGTATATCGCAAAGCCAAGAAGTGCTTGTCTTGGATAACAGAAGAACCCTGTGCCTTCTTCAGGACTAAGGTTGCTCGTTTGTCCTCAGGGTGACAGAGGCTGTCCTGAGAGAGGACCTGGGGAAGCTGGCGGGCATGCGGGGGCGGCAGCCCCGGTTCTCACGCGGGCAGAGGGAGGAGCTGGTCAAGGTGCACTCTTGGATGCAGAGCCAGACGATCCCTCAAGGAATAGACATCCAAGTAAGCACGGTGACAACAGCTGTCTTATATGATGTTTTTTTGTGCCAGACAGTGCCCGAGGCACTTAATACACATTGCAGTGAAACCACTGAAAATCACAGCCCTCGCAGATCTTTCTACCTCACCAACAAACAGCAAAATAACGTGTACAGTTATTAAATAATTTATATATGGTTGCACAGTCCCTCTGATTTTGAGTCCAGGTCTTTTGACTGCAAGTGTGTTTCCTGGTTGGAATGTTACAGGGCTCCTACTCTGATGTATGATTGACAGGGGAGGAGAGGAGTAAGAGATTGGCATTTCAGATACGCGAGTGTGTTTGAATGGAGTTAGAACGCAAGATGTGGGATTCACATTAGATGTAGTATTCATACCTAGCAGGATCCTCCGTGAGACCCAGGTGGTCTTTGGCTGTTACAAGATCTTCTCAGTGAGATCACACGTGCGTGGCCTGGCCGGTGGAGCTCTGATTTGCCAGTGGTCCCCGTGGCGGCTCTGTGGAATGGTTGTGACACTTGTACCAGGAATGAGCCCTTTATTGCCTCAAGTGTCAGGCTTTTATGTGGGAGGTGACAGTGTGTGAAGTTAAAAGCTATAGCAAGAGAAGAAAGCTAGGTGTTCAGAACAGTGGGGTGTTAAGGCTTCTGAAGTAAACAGGTGCTGGTATCCTCCCTACCCTCCTTTTTAAAGAAACGAATGCATTCCTGCAACTTAAGCCTGGTTAGAGGTGGCATTGCCAAAAAGCAGGAGCTGAGCCCGTTACTCATTTCAAGTGTCCTTGTTCTTAAACTACTATTTTTGTGGGGTTTAAGTAGAAGAGTAAATGAGTGAGTCCCAAAGTAATGTAAGCAACAGTGTGTAAATAATTGTCATGTTCCTTCTAACAACAATTAGGAATGAACTGTCACATAGGTTCTTCTTAGACATGAATTGAATAAATTGGGGACTAGACATAAGGTGCTTGGCCAGCACTTTACTGATTTTAAACTTTCCAAATGACATCATGTCATGCTGCCCGCTCTTGTTCTTTCTCGGAGGGCTGCGTCACTTGCGAAAGCCAAGACTCCCTCGGCGACGCCGCAGAACCCCATGGTCAAGCTGCAGCAGCGAACAGCGGATGAGTGGCCGTGGAGGCGCGCCCCCCGGGACCCGCTGGACAACCGGACCTCTTCGTGTGTCTCTTTAAACCCCGACTAAGTGACCATGAAGTTGTCACTGAATGTTAAGGTTTTCCCTTCTTGATTTTTTTAACAGGCATCGTTTCTCTGAAGCAGACGTCATACATACAGTCTTTTATGTCCGTGTTCCTGGAGTCTTACAGCTGTCAGTTAGGTTGTTTTCTAGTGTAGCTGTCCTCTGAGGAGATCGGATGGCCTCTAGAGAGGTGTGTGCGCAGGTGGCACCCGAAATCGACGGCAGTCAGAAGTATAGCCAGAAAGAGCCCCGAACCTTGGCCTCCTTCATTTTGTTCTGTTGTTACAGAAAGCATTTTCCCTGTGAGAGCACTTGACATCCCACCTGCAGGCCATCTAGTTTTCAGAATGGTTCCCAGGAACGTAGTACTTTCATCTGGTCCTTGGGCAGCTTGGCGCGTCCTTCCGTAATTCAAATGAAACGTTCTCATTTGCCCACAACACGAGTCGCTTCTGTATTTACCAGTAGTACCAAATACCACCCATCGGTACACCGGACATATCTGCATGTTGGGGTTGGATTTTGAGCTTTGTTCATGTGGACGCTTTTCCTTTTAATTTTCCACCTTCCACTGAAATTCCCAAAGTCCTGCCTTAACAGTCGACTTACCATGAGGTTATTTGTCAGAGAGTTGAAGTTAGCTTTTGCATGTGTGACATTAAAATAGAAAGAGCTCCTCACTCATCCAGTGGTATTCCCCTTTCTAATGTTTTTGGTTTTAAAATAATGACTGTAAAAAGTTTCAGAAGTCATGTCAAAAATAATTGGTGTTTAAATGTTGTCTCACCCAAAATTAACAGTTAACTCTTTCTTTACAACCAGTTTACACACAAGAGGTCTGGCTATCCTTGTCGGAGGTTTGTAAGTGCCGTGATGGGCTGTGCGGGGACAGCAGCGGTCCATGGGGACAGCAGCGGCCCGTGGGGGCTCCACTGTCCTCGCTGGAGTGCAGAAGCAGCCAGAGTGTGTGTGTGTGTGTGTGGGACAGCAGCGGTCCATGGGGACAGCAGCGGCCCGTGGGGGCTCCACTGTCCTCGCTGGAGTGCAGAAGCAGCCAGAGATAGTGCTTCCTGTGCCAGCCGTGATTGTGTCTTCTAGGAAGTGAGTGGGTTGTTACTGGATAAGTTAGCTCCCTGTTCTTTAGAGAAGTCCATGATTCCTGCCCAGACTCGGTATGACCCACGCAGATCAGAAAGAGGACTAGAAGCAAGTGAAGGAGCAGTAACCTTTTATCTTTTATATAACAGACTGATTTTTCTTTTTTTGTTGTTTTGTTTTGTTTTCTATTTTGTTTTAAAAAAACACTCTTCCTCTTTTCAAGTTTTATACTTTTTTATAAAAGTGCATCCTGATAATAATTAGGGGACTCAACCTTTTTATCCATGATTCCATGGTGACTGCAGGGCCCTGATTCTTAGTTCCCGTAGCTCAGGTTTCCTTTCTAAAGTAGGTTTTCCTAGAAGGCAATTCTATGTGTCGGAGCCATTTTCAAATGCTAAGCTGTTCCATGCAACTACTCCAGTGTTATGACTGGGGAGCTCTCATATTCTACTCCATCCTGATCGCTGAGTGATTTCGGAGCCCTCGTCGTGTTGGTTAGGTTGTGTGGTATTTTTGCCCTTGGTGAAAAATCATATTTTAAAAAACTAACCAGCCAAGATATTATCCATCAATGTACTCATCATGACCTTCTGCAGGGACAAAAATTTTAATTTGTATAAATGAGAAATGACATGTGGCTGTTAGAGGTCACTCAGCTTCATGCAGCACGTTTTATACCTTACATTCTCCAGTCACGTAAGCACCTCTTTTTCATTCTTTCTGGATATTGGTTTTATCTGAATTTGCTGATCTCTTTGCCTTAGTACACATTTTATGGAGTGCATATTATGCCAGACTTGACATGAAACTGGTGCTTGTTGTAGGTAGATCTGTAATACCGTTTATAACTTTCATATGTTGACAAGTAGATTAGTTGGCGTGTTTAGGGATTGGACCGTGACGCTTGCACTGCTGGAGGGGAGAAATGAGGCTCAGCAGTGACGCTGCTGCCCCCCGAGGGGGCTGTACCCACTTTTACACTTTGTTGTTCAAGTTTATTAACTTTTTGTATTAATAACTACAGAAATTGGTAATAAAAATGTGTATTATAGGCTTCCATGTTTACATAAATGTTACCCAAAAAGCTGCATTTTCTTGGGTAAGAGGTCAGGGTTTATGAAAAACGGAATGCTGTGTGAATGGAGTTGTTTTGCAATTAAGTAAAACTTTGTTATAATTCACAAGGTAAATTTAATCTAAATTGAAATTCCATTTCGGCTGAATTTATAATTGTGTGAGTTTACTTGTTTTTAATGGTTATTAATATTTCAACCAGGTATCTTTTTCAAGTAAAAACAAACTGTGTACATGTAGAACCGGAGATATTTTTGCATCGTGTCAATAAACCTTTGCCCTGAATATTTTTTATCATCATGAAATGTTTATTAAGTTGCATTGCAAGAGGCAGGATTAACACTGGTTTTCTCAGCAATGCTGTGTGTTTGCGTTGTCACAGCGTCTGAGCTCCTGCTGAGTTTTCAAATCCATTACCTCATCGAGCCCTCGGGGCAGCGCTGGGTCCTCAACATACATGCATATTTCTAACACTGACTGAAAGGCCTAACTCACAGAATTCAGCGTCAGCAGTATTCTTTCCGATTCCGTAGAGTGCACCTGCGTGTCCGGAGCAGGGATGGGAAGGTTCGAATCCAACCCCAGAGCCCCGTCCGCAGGGGTAATTGCCTACACCACTGAAACGCGGGCCAGGGCTCCCAGTTACCCCGCATGGGTATTCCACAGAAGCTCTTTCTGGCCTCATAAATATAAAACAGTTCTGTGGTGCCAGCGTTGTGTGTTGGAGACCCAGCGTTCGCTTCGTGTCAACGGCGCGAGACGCCACAGTGTTACCACAGCTACTTAATGTCAGCATGGTCCCCGAGGTGACACATCCGTTCTTCGAGTTTGAGACCTCTTTCCCTGTGGATTTGTCCTTGAGATCTTAAATCCAGAAAGTGAACGCTTTTTCTTTTTTTTTTTTTTAATAAAATTTTGTTTATTTGAGAGAGAGAGTGTGCACCCGCCCTTGCACAGGAGCAGGGGGAGGGGCAGAGGGAGAAGCAGGCTCCCCGCTGATCAGGGAGCCCCGGGGACATGGAGCTCGATCCCAGGACCCAGAGATCGTGACCTGAGCTGAAGGCAGACGCTGAACTGACTGAGCCGCCCAGGTGCCCCACTGATTTTTTTTTTAAGTAATAACATATGTTGTCATGTTTAAGGTTGAGAGGACATGGAGGTAAGATAACATTTAAGCAGTTTGTAGTTGAGCTATTTTAAATAAATTTTACTTTTGCTTCTGTTCACTTACAGCTTTACTTTTAAATTTTCAGAGAATTCAAGAATAAATTGATGGAAAGAAAAGTTATAAATTTTCAGGACACGTTTATAAGTAAAATGACCACTCATGATATTTGCAAAACATAGAGGATTTATTTTCCAAATAATAATGGACAGAGTCTAGTTTGCTTAGGTTTTTTTTCTATACTATTTTGAAACCAGGCATTTTTGTTTTTAAGTTTCTAAGATGGCTGTTTTTGAGTTGACCAGTAGATGTTCATTTCACTTCAGACACAGTATTTCCAGAAGCATTCAGAGGGAGACCCACGCTTCTTATCTTGTTTCCTGTTCCTGTCCAAAAGATGACTCAGGAAAATGTTAAGATCTTGTCCAGAGAAAGCCTGAAACCAAATCCACAAACAAAAAAACGTAGATTATCAATGAATTAAGAATCCTACAAGAAAGAGGAGCCGTAGTTAAGACTTAGGGCCCCTGAAAAGTGCCTGCTCTGTCGTGTGGGGTGTAATTGCAGTAGGAGCCCGGAGTGTGGTGGCTCTGGAAGGGCTCCCTGCACCCCGCCAGGGGTCTACTCTGTCAGTCCTCTGATTGCCCTGAGGTTCCCCAAGCCCTCACTGACCCATCTCTATTTAAATAATCGATCAGTAACATGTTCTGTCCGTTTATTATCTTCTGTGTGAAACAGATCTTATATTTCCCCTGAAATGAACTTCTCTTGAAGCATGGGCCCTTAGTTTTGTTTCTACTGCAGAACTGCATGAGCAAATCCTATGAATCACCTTTGTGATTTTAGAGTCTTTAACTGTAATCCTTCTACTCAGAAGAATATATACGTGAATGATGACTTTTACTTTGTCATATGCAGATACCACACGGACCCCTTCTGGGTGGTTTTGCCCAGTTGGGACCTTAGGTGGTGTCTGCCATCTCTGGGATGGAGTGTGTCCAGTATATTTTTATAAGGATGTTAGTGGGTACTACACCGAAAAAGATGTCTCTGGCCAGAATGTTTGGGAAGTTCTTGATTAATATTAAATAAGTTTACGTCGGGATTTCCTGGAGGTTTCGATGTGCTGATGTACACACAGAATCAGCGGGGCGGGAGAGGCTAGAACAATAGGCATGGTAGATTGGCTGGTGGGACTGGTGTACCCAGAAACCCTTCAGGAAGCACTTAGAGTTTGGGGGTGTTGGTGATGGTCAAATGCAGACTTTTCTTTCAGCATCTGAGGCCCTCCGGGAATTGCACGCCATTTCTAACCATCTAATATTATCTGTCATTCACCAATTCCCTATCCCAGTCTTTCCCCCGCACCCAGAGTAGTGCCCGTGCCCTGCCCTCTACCGCCCATGTTCCACCTCTGTGTTTGAGCACAGCATTCTTCCACTTAGATGGTACACGCAGCAGCTCCCACACTTGAATGCGAATGCGAGTCACCTGGGGTGCCTGCTAGGATGCGGATTTTTTTTTTATTCTTATGTTAATCCCCATACATTACATCATTAGTTCTAGATGATAGGATGCGGATTTTGATGCAGTAGGAGATTCTGCATTTCTCACGAGCTTCCAAGTGATACCAGGGCTGCTGGCCCCTGGGCCACATGTGGGGATGATGAAAGAGCTAGCAGAGGGGTAACAGACTGGAGAGCAGGGACCTTATCTGTTGTTCATTCCCTTAAACTTGTTAAAATAATTTTTACCCAAAACAGGCACTGGACAAGTTCTTGTGGTCACATATGAATCAGAATTTAGAAAAATGAATGCTTTGAAATAACACTGATTGGCCAGTTACTTGAAGGTATGATTTCTACCCAGGACACTACCCAGTTCAAGCATTTTGGATCTTCTAAAGTCAGGGTATAAAATGCTTCGCCTAACTGTCGTAAATAGGGTCACTTACCTTTCTCAGACTTCCTCTAGGGTTAGCAATGTCAGTACTGAGACCTGGAAAACAATATTTGGAAACCATTCATCATCAGATCTGTGATTTCCAGTTTATGCTTGTTTTTCTTAGAATATTATTAAGTCATGTCTAATTTCTGATCTTCCTGTTTTGTTTTGGTTTTTTTTAAGATTTTATTTATTTGATAGAGCACAAGTAGGCAGAGAGGCAGGGAGAGGGAGAAGCAGGCTCCCTGCGGAGCAAGGAGCCCGATGCGGGTCTCGATCCTAGGACCCCAGGATCATGACGTGAGCTAAAGGCAGACGCTTAACTGACTGAGCCACCCAGGCGCCCCTCTGATCTTCCTGTTTTCACTCTGCAGCAATATTTACTTGAAGGCAGCTTCTT